AAATCCAATTTTGACAGCAGTCTTGCTAGACTCTAAAGAAATGGATATGAAAAATGTTCAAATTACTAATGCCAAAAGAATGCAGATGATAGTTAACACAAAGAGCAGTAAACGAAGAATAAGATAACTAAGAGGTTTAAGTTGCATTTCCAAAGGCTTATAAGAGTTAATGACTAAATATTTAAGAAAAAGCTTTTAGAGGCAGACAAACTAAAACTAAAAAATTACCCTCAAGGACAATGAAAGGATGTGTTAAAATTCATTAATTAATATGTGGGTATATTTGTAAAATACAGAGGAAATAAAAGTTAACAACTAGAATAAAATAGTTGCCAGGGCAAAAACAAAAATATGATATATGTAAAAAATGTTCCTACCCTTTATGAGATCATTTATTACATCGGAGAATACAGTAATAACCTCAGGATTACCTAATTTTGCCAAAAGTTGCGATGATTTCATGAGGATGAAATCCCCAGCAAGAACAGCCTGAAGAAAGTATAAATAAGAATAATGATATGAAACACCTGCTTATTACCAAAAAGTCTATAGGCAGTCTCATTTCCCCTCCTAAGGAAAGCGGAGTCTAAGAGATCATCATGCATCAAGCTGGCAGTATGAATCATTTCAGTGACAATAGCGATAGTGTGCTGCTCATTTGAGACACAATAGGCTAAACTTCTTTCATAATTAGAACGTGAATTTTCAAGAAGAATGTGACGCGAGTTTATGCCTTGGGCGTGGTGATTAACAGAAGCAGCCATCAGGACCACCATTAGAGGACGTAGCATTTTTCCCTTAGCTTGAAAATAGTATCTAGAAATATCCGTGGCGCGAGAAGAGTGACTGTGCAAAACCTAAAAATTGGTTTGCCAAAAATAATTCACTCTATAGATATCTTGTGGTATTTGGCTTATATCATGGTTGGCATCATTTAATAACCTAGATAGGCACTCTGTTCCGTTTCTTGCTAAGAAGATGCTAGAATGCGAAAATCTCTATGAAAATATTATAAAATATCTCACCAACCTTGCATAAATTAGATAAAGGAAAAGATACAATCTTAGGAGGAAGGTACATGAGTAGTGATGTAATTACGAGTGAGCGGATCAAACACGCAACATAGTTGAACGACTAAACACTGTAACATCAGGTTTATTGATTAATTTAAACATATTGCTAATTAAGAGTTAATTCAATTTTATTAAACTATGTATATTTTTGTGTGTTAGCGTCTATATGCAGTACGGTTCCTAAATCAGACTTGTCAAAGATTAAATCTCCTGTTCTGATCCTCAAGACCTAAGAACCCAAGAGAAAATCTTTGACCAAGACTACCTAGGCCCGTAAATAAGTATGGTTGAGATATTAAAATATGAGCTTGTATGCGTGATAATCAAGTTACGAAACCACTTGTCCTAACATTTCCCTCAAAGGTCATTAATGTTTAACCCTCCAAGCAAAGGCAAGACTGGGGTTGCGTAATTTGACATGTCTGGTTTGTTTGAAGAGCTTACTTTAACATTTTGGGCGAATGTGAGTGAAATTTCAAACCATCACTGAGCAAACAAATTGAGTCGCCTTCTTTTTAAAGGTGGCACAACATCCTCTATCTCTTTTAATCTATCAATCAAATATAAGTAATTCCTACTCAACTTTCTACCTCTGTTCTTCACATCCAACGTGTTTCCTGAACTATTTCAATAGCTTCTCTTATCTTTCTTTTAAACACACACGTACCGTAATCAGCAAACCTACTAGTTTGAGAACATTTTATTTAATGTCTAGTTTCTACCATGTGTTCAGCCACTTCTGACCGTTGGATCCAGCTACCTTTGCAAGCATTTTTATGTTCTACCAATTTTTGTCGAATAGGTCGGCATGTCTTACCAACATAAAATCGACCACATGAGCAAACAATCTTCTAGCAGCCGGATCTAGATAATGGGTCATATTTCTCTCTAAAAGATAGCATAATAGAAGAAAGTGTGGGGGTTTCTTATAACACTGTTTTTATGCCCCACTTCTTCTATTATTAGACTTATTAATTTACGCATAAGTACAACATATTTTACCTTTTTTTGTTAGTTATATGAACAAACTCAAGGATTAGCGATGGAATCTTGCCTGTCTCCCATCTTAGCAAAATATTTCATGGCAAAATTGGAGTAACACTACCTGTAAGAGGCAATACTAACACCCAAATTGTTGGCTAGATATTTGGATGACTATTTTATTATTAAGCCTCATGGTAAGGACAATTTAGATAGTTTCTTATTTTCACTCAACTATCAAAGGTAAAATATGTGGTACTTATGCATAAATTAATAAGTCTAATAATAGAAGAAGTGGGTCTAAAAAAGTGTTTAAAGAAACCCTCACACAGTCTTCTATTATGCTATCTTTTAGAGAGAAATATGACCCATTGTCAAGATCCGGCTGCTAGAAGATCGTTTGCTTATGTGGTCGATGTTATGTTAGTGAGACATGCCGACCTATTCGACAAAGATTGGTAGAACACAAAAATGCCTGCAAAGGTAGCTGGATCAAACGGTCAGAAGTAGCTGAACACATGGTAGAAACTAAACATGAAATAAAATGGTCTCAAACTAGTAGGTTTGTTGATTACAGTACGTGTGTATTTAAAAGAAATATAAGAGCCTATTGAAATTTATAGCTTAGGAAATACGTTAAAATGTGAACAACAGATATAGAAAGTTGAATAGAATTTACCTATGATTGATTGATAGATTAAAAGAGAGAGAGGATGTTGTGCCACCTTGAAAAAGAAGGCGACTCAATTTGTTTGCTCAGTGATGGTTCTAATTTCACTCACATTTGCCCTAAATGTTAGAATAAGCTCTTCAAACAAACCAGACATGTCAAATTGCGCAACCTTTGAGGGAAATGTTAGGACAAGTGGTTTCGTAACTTGATTATCATGCATACAAGCTCATATTTTAATATCTCAACCATACTTATTTACGGGCCTAGGCAATCTCGGTCAAAGATTTTCTCATGGGTTTTTAGGTCTTGAGGATCAGAACAGGAGATTTAATCTTTGAAAAGTCTGATTTAGGAACCGTATTCCATATAGACGCTAACACACACAAATAAACATACTCATACAATCAAGCAAAAATAACAGAACCAATATGAAAGAAAATTTACTTAACAATTCTATATCGATCTATCTAGGTTTTTAATTTTTAATTTTTTGACTCGATTGAGTCAATATAAGAAGTTAGATAGACCTGACTAGG